TGAACAATTCAGGAAATATTAAAAATATCAGGTAGGAAAGTATGTTAGGTCCGGAATATTTTTTGCACCCTCCACCCCCAAATAAAAACTGTTTCGCTTGTCAAATCTGAATTTCTCTAATAACATTGTCAGACTGGTTAGATCGATCAAATGGAATACAAAACTTTCGCTTCCACGATTGGTCTGACGGAAAAATTTAGATCAAATCAACATGAGGTCCATTTTTATCAGACGTGCGAAAACTTGGCCCAGATCTTGCTTGAAATTATAACCCGTTATAGTATGCAAAACTTTCCCCTTGACGAGTAAATTCATCTGGGGTTAGACAGAGTAAAATACTAAAGTAGGGCGCATTTTGGAGGCATTGCAGCTTAATGGGTTATAAGAGAGAGAAATTCTGCCCAGCATGGCTGGTCTGATCATTTCAAATGGAAAGCGTGCTTTGTGTCTTTTTTTGTAAATATACCCAGTCCTTGCAATATGATTATGAACTTTAGCTAAATTGAGGACTTTATGTAAATTTGTATACGGCATATAACAAAGTGAGCATTATCAAAGTTGAGTTATAGAATTATAGTTGCATGCAGTCATTGTTTGTTTTATTAGGTCAACTAGTGCATGTAGTGATTAAGAATCAAGTAATAACATATGGACAAAATATTTACATTTATATATGCCAGTAAAATATTGTGTTAGTTTTCATAGGTGGTAAAGTGTTTCATATTGATGTTCAATAAAAGTATTTGTTTAAAACAGGATCTCTGAATCTCTTTAGTTTCCCCCCCCCCAAAATCCTTAAATTACTTCATTGGCTTCATTCTGTTTTATGTGATTTCAGCTCGACGACGTAAATCACATATTTGTGCTTGAAAATTAACCAGATAAAGATTCCAGAATTGTGCCATTTATAAATCTTGGAATCCTTAAAGCTTTGAATTCCTCAAAAAAATCCGTAACTATATATACGATATTAGACGGTTGCGAAGAGATATGGCTTTTATGTTCGAGTGGCAAAAACAATAGACGGTTTTAGATAACAAGACGTGGACAAAGATAATAGATACTATAGTATATAGTAGACGGTTTTAGATAAGAAGACGTGGACGTCAAGAGGACGTGGATGTCGTCATTTGGCGCCAACTATCGTCAGCTTCTGGTTTGCGACGTCGTCTTGAACGATTTCACGACGCGAAAATACAATTTTCACGTCCTCTCTAGAACGTCACAGATTTTTGCTTCTTTTGAAAAAAATATGAGACTATGCATAATAAAAATCATCCTATTTTGTTCCCCATGTATTGTTTAATGATACTAGCTAAAGTTTTTCCATTGACAAGGTTGTTTTTCTTGTATTTCGCTTAATTTTAGACGAGTTGATTTTCGACAAATACTTTCGGTCGCCATAAACAAATCAACAAAACTGCAAGCATTGTTAATAACCACTTCAATACCGCTAGTAATCTTCACCAAAACAAATATTTTAGAACAAACTAAACTGAAGTTATATTAACAACTGTTTAAAATCAGGGAAACGTGGGAAAATAGAAAAATAAAAGCACTTAAAAGCAGTAAAAACTCAATCAATTTTAGTTGCTCTGTCACAACGGTGCAAAAAGTAGGACAAGCAAAAAAACGCTTTCCAGCGTGAAAAACTATTGTAAACAGTATTAAATTTTACCAATATAAACACTGATGCTATATTTATACTGAACAGTTGACAAACTTGATTGAATAGGCTACAATTAGCTCGTAAACAATACCTGAAGCTGTTGTATTTATTCCAAATGATGCAACAAAGTTCACTTTTCAAAATACCAAAAAATAACCTTTTTTCCAAAAAAAACTTATTGAATGTCCAT